CCAAGGTCGTTATAACCAATCTCCACTGTACACACAAAGTGTGGGGAAGAGAGGGAGAATGAAACAGAGAGGGAGACAGAGGCGAAGAGATGCTAGAGAGACAGGGAGGAAGAGATGCTAGAGAGACAGGGAGGAAGAGATGCTAGAGAGACAGGGAGGAAGAGATGCTAGAGAGACAGGGAGGAAGAGATGCTAGAGAGACAGGGAGGAAGGGATGCTAGAGAGACAGGGAGGAAAATATGCTAGAGAAACAGGGAGGAAGAGATGCTAGAGAGACAGGGAGGAAGAGAGAAACTAAAATGCAGAGAGAAGAGATGAAGAGATTGGAGAAAGACGGAGCAATTTATCGAGGGACATGCACATACACATATGCACAAACACATATGCACAAACACATATACACAAACACATATGTACAAACACATATGTACAAACACATATGTACAAACACATATGTACAAACGTACATTCACACACACACCTATGCACAACAGTTTGCTGTACAATGTCATGGCTGTATCTGCTGGACAATGTCATGACTGTATCAGTATTATTCTAGTACAGTACTCAGCAGTTGTTCGAGTTTTATTTGTTGAAGTAAATTGTTGACCGTTCTTGTATTTTTAGGACTGTTTCGATATTTTCTGTTTCGTCTATTCAGCAGTTGGGTGCGTATAAGCCCCTCATTCCCGCTCGTTCCTCAATCTTCCTTCCATTTGGCAAATGCTGGTTTTTGCACATTGTGTAATTACTCAGCGTTATTTGCAATAATAATATTAATAATATGAACAACAGAGAATAGTGAGAGAGGCAGTGAGAGTAGGAGAGATATGAGCCAGAGCGCACTAAAACATGACCACAGCTTTTTTTTGGAAACAGTCGGGAAAATCGTGATTTGAATTCCGCGGCAAAAAAATACGAATTGGAGTGCGACACGAGTTGCTGTTCTTGTTCTCCTCGGGCGATTGGACTGTTCTGGATGTGTTTCTTTGTTGCAAGTACGTTTATTTGTTTGAGTTTGTATTTCATGTTGCGCTGAGTTATCAAAGGAAGAGCGTAATGTACTCCAGATCGGAAGAAGACGGCATCCTTGCGCTCCATGCGCAGGATGAAATATTTTGTGATTTGCGTCAGAAACAGAAGTAAGACGATGATGGCCACAGCGACGAGTCATTTGAGGGCGACACTTTTATCGAGCGTAAAATAATTGATGCAGGCAGTCCCACGATCTGCAGTGATGAGGTGTTCTACTCTGATGATAACCTGCCAAGCGATTGGCATGGACACTGACTTGGGAGGTGAGTCGGCCAAGATTAGGCCAGAGTGCACATCGCTGCACATATTATCCAGGACAATGCCAGTATCAAGTTGCCAGTGTTAGTTGCAAGTGCAAAACAATCAATGGACTCCGCTGCTGTCTCAAGTCGATAATCTGAGTGCCCTTATGCCGAACATCGCTAACATGAGCAGGAGGCAGCGAAAGCAGTACTCCCTGGTGAGCGGAGAAAACCGTGTGCAGATGGACTTTGGCGTGGGGAATATGAGTACGTCGAGTATGTTGAGGAAGACTGTTTGCCGCAGTGTACACTGTATTATCTGAAATTACAGGTGGAGTGTGATGGAGAGGACGTGGAGTACCAACTTCTTCAGACGTATACAGATGCTGACTGTGTTTTCGCTGGCGGTTTTCCATTGGTGCTCCAACCAGGAGGTATTTCAGACACCCAGCTCAGCTGCCTATAGAAACTTTGGATGTGGCCGAGTATCTGTCAACTCATGCCATAAGACCCTGGACAGAGGAACTGACCCAGAAAGGATGAACCAGTGGACATATCAACTGTTTACAAAAATGCCAATCCCATTGCTGTGCATAGAATTTCACCATTTCAACAGTGCTGCATATAGTACCATTGTAGCTTAGACATGTCAGATCAATCCAAAACTTTCAGACAGTGAAGATTAGGAGTGTTTGATCATTTTTGACCAAAAACTGAAAAATCGGATTTTGGGTCTGGGGTCACATTTTAGCAAGCTCTGGCTCATATAGAGACTGCTAGAGATTATGAGATGGTGAGAGAGGTAGATTGTTGAAAGAGAGAAAAGGAGAAAAGGAGATTTTAGAAGGAGACAGAATATGATGGGTGAAAGTTACGAACTGACCTGCTCTGAAGAGCTCATCATGGAAGTGCAGTAGGGACATAGGACTGGCCTTGCTGCGCATTCTTCACGTCTGTGCTCGTCTATTCTTGCTACTGCTATAGCAGCATTGCACTGAGGGCAGTCGACAGTGCGATACATGCAGTCATGCATGCAATGTCTGTCTCTCTGCGACTGGGTGATATCCTCTCTGCAGCCATTAGGACATGGCACTAGCCTGTATGCACATGTAGCATTGTGGTCCTGCAGTAAGACACACAAACACACATACACATACACATACACATAATACATACACACATATACATAGACACACGCACACATACACATACACATACACACA